CTGAGGGACCCACTGCTGAGACACAAGGGTCTAGCATCCAATAGGTATTCAATGAATGTCTGGCAAACAAGGCTGCACCCGCAGCATTTATTAGGTGCCTAATTGTGGGTAGCAATAGCTAGGCATGGAAGGCAAGGCTGAACACATAGAACTGGTCAGTGGAAGCCATTAAAGCACCAAGTGACTGGGATGCAGAGGAGTCAGTGGTAAAAGGTAAGTGCAGACCCACCCCAATAAATGAGAAAATAGGAAGGGCTGTTCAAGCTGGGGATCCAGTCCCAACGTGACCAGATGTCACCACCAAATCACTTGAGTCTGTAGCTCCTCCCCCCACCCACAGACACCAGTTGGCCTGTCATATAAAGGGGGTTTTCCCAAAGTTGTTTAGCCAGAACTGGAAGGGCCCTGCCCGATGGGACAGGAGCCTCACTGTGGCCCAGCAGCCAGGAGGGAAGCAGAGATGGCCAAGTTGGATCCTGGGTGCTCTGGAGCTAGATGGTGAAGTATAGGCATGCTTTATTCAATTTTGCATGACTTGAAGGTTTCGTTATTGCATTAGAGAAGCTATGTAGACACTCTTGAAAATGCAGGTAAGCAGAAAGAAACTCAAAAACTTTCCTCTCACCTTTCAGAGAAAGCACCAATTAATTTCTCTCATGTATCCTCTATGCAAACATGGGTATTGTGTATGTGGTGATTAAAACAGGGGGTAGATGCTGCTGCAGATTTTGAGGTGTCTCAGATGGGGGTGGGGGTTAAAAGACAAAGTCTCCCAGAGCATCCCAAAGCAACAATGGGACTGGGTGGATTTAGGGCTGTAGCTCTCTGTGGTTACTTATGGATTCGGTCCAAATCTAAGGATAGAGACCTGGCTGAACCCTTCCCCTGCCCCTACCTCCAGACCTAACCCACCAGTACCTGCTTCTCAGTTTTCCAGGTTCCTGTCACTCCAAGTCCAAACCAATATGTAAATCTGTTAAGTGTCACCACACAGGACCTTGGACTCCTAAGCCCAAGTCATGAGTTGGGCTTAGCTCCCAGGACCCTTAGGCCTCAGGTCAAATGGGGAGTGAAAACTACAAATACCTGCCCCATGTTTCAGAGAGAAGAGATTCTCCCTCTATGGGTCTCAGGGAGAGAGGCTTTCAAATTCTTGCCAACAGAATTGTTGAAAAATGCCATCTTATGTGAGCCCCTAAATAAGAGGACCAAAGTGGAAGAAGTTATAGGGTAGAGCAGGGCAGGTGCTCACCTGCTCAGTCCCTCCACATTCGTCTCAGCAAGGCACCTCTGAGCAACACTATTTAATATATTTCCGCACGCTCAGGACATGCTCAGCAGGGCAAGCTGGCAAGAGAAACTAGCCCTGCCTAAGTGGCAGCCTTTGAGGTTCTGGCTAGTGCCCCCTTCCCCAATACCACCACCACCAAAGACCTACTGAGAGTCCTCTGGGCCAGCCTGGGGATCAATGGGACCACTGAAGCTTTCTTTCTGGGCTGACCTTTCTTCTAGATTCCGCACGCTCAGGACATGCTCAGCAGGGCAAGCTGGCAAGAGAAACTAGTCCTGCCTAAGTGGCAGCCTTTGAGGTTCTGGCTAGTGCCCCCTTCCCCAATACCACCACCACCAAAGACCTACTGAGAGTCCTCTGGGCCAGCCTGGGGATCAATGGGACCACTGAAGCTTTCTTTCTGGGCTGACCTTTCTTCTAGGCCACAGGACAAGTGGGAGGAGCACTGGGGGACTCTCATACTAGGTGGGGCTAGCCCTGTCCCTATTTCCCCTCAATCGGGTGCTCTTGCTCATAGCCTGAGGAAAAACTGTGACTCACTTCCTGCCTCAGTCTCACCACAGGAGTATTGTTCTCCCAACTGTGCTTGGCACTGGTAGGGGCTACCCCACAGTGGCCACCACACGTCTTGGCTCCTTTTAGAGGGAAGTCTCCAATCTGGGAGTGGCCAGCACGATTTATAGACTTGTCTCTCAAGTTTAAGGGCCCCTTCCCCCCATGCTTTGAGTTTCCAGCATCTGCAGTGTTTTAAAGGGTGCTCAAATAATACCTGATTCAATTAACGTGTGCGCGCACACACACATACACACAAAATCCTTTTACAGAAGGGTAAAATGAGGAGAGAGGTGACGAGAGAGAGAGAGAGAGAGAGAGAGAGAGAGAGAGAGAGAGAGAGACTGATTTACAAAGAGGCCTGACTGCCAGGTGGGAGCTGCTGATTTGATTTAGGGGAGTCGAGACAGGGTTTTGATATGTGGCTTTGGCCGGCCTGGAACTCACTATGTAGTCCAAGCTGGTCATGAAGTTGTGACCATCCTCCTACCTCAGCCTCCTCAGGTCAGGAATTATAAGCATACCCCAGGATACCTGGCTCCTTAACAATATTATTTGACCTCCCTGGGCTCAAGTTTCCTCCTCTGAAAGGACATAATCCAGAATGTATAAAAAGTACCTAATGGAAAAGGCACTGTGCACACCTCATGGGATTTTGGTGAGGATGAAGAGTTCCACGTGGAATGGGCTTCGAATGAGCCACTCGGTGACATTTGTTTCTGACTATACAGGAACCTGTGTTAAGGACACAGAAGGAGAGGACAGGATAGGATTATGCAGCCAGGTTATCTCACAGGGAGCAAAAAGGGATGGGCAGAAGCTGCTAGCGACCTTGGAATAACCCAGCCTGGGAAGCTCTTGGCCACATTTCCCCTGTCTTTCTCAGCTCAAGCAGTGTAGACCTCAGCCAAGTAGCACAGACGTTTTCTAGGGCAGGAACCCAGGGACGGAAAGGCTCTGCTGGTATAGTGCAAGTAACTCGGAGTGAAGCTCTGCCAAATCTGAGGACTGCTAAATTGTGGAACTTAAGAAAAATTATTTAAACGCTATGCGCCTCAGTTCCCTTATCTGTAAAATGGGATTAATAAAGTCAGCCTGAAAGGCTTATGTGGATCAAATAATGTACATAAGGAGAAGATAATATGAACTGATTGGCCCGGTGCCTGGCACTCGGTTGGTGCGGGGGGGGAGGGGATTTATTAAAAAAAAAAAAAACCATAAAAGGAGGTGGGCTATTTCTGTTTATACACCTGTCTCTACAGAGCCAAATAAAACCGTGAGTCCTCTACCAGGAGGCAGCGAGGGTTCCCAGGCTGCTGTGAGGTCCAAGGTCCGCCATCCCAGGGCGCTTCCAGCGATAGTGCCCAGACTCGGGACTCAGGACCCGGGACCTCGGGCAAGACAAGGCCAGCCTGCCAGAGACCTGTCGAGACTGGGTTCTCAGTGACGCCCAGGCCTTTCCCTCGCTGTCCTTCCCTGGGGTTCCGAGTCTGGGTCTCCGAGACCGCCTGTCCGGGGAGCTCGCGAGGCCGAGAGCCGAGCCCGAGGCGGAGGCGCGGGCAGTGGGGCCTGGGGGTGCTTTGCGGCCACGAGGGCCCGGGCAGCGCCGGCCTCCCTCCTCCCCGCCCCTGTCGGGAGCCGCAGGCAGAACGCCCCGAAGGCCGCAGGCCCGGCAGGCTAGGACGCGCGGCGCTCGCACTCGGAACGCGGGCCCGGCGGGGTGGCGAGTGCAGCGCGGTGGGCCAGGGCC